TCACCGTGCGCATGCTGGCGGGCGTCGAGCTCAACGAAATCGATGATACTGCCACCGCCGACTCTTGCACACGTGGTAGTGGAGGGGAGACGCTCCACTCCTGCCACAACCTGGTGCCACCGCGTCTTGAGCCGAGACTCCCCCATCTCGTTGAAATCTGCTTGGTATATCCACGGTATGTCATGCTGCTTGATGGCCGTAGCGATGGCCTCCATTGACAAATTTTGAATTGTCCAACTTTCACATGTCCACCAACATGACGTGGTAATCATGAGGCCACCCTTCTGTCCAGCAGAGCACCTGCCCACTGCCGCGCGCCCAGCCGAACCAGGAGGTGAGATATCAAACATATTCATGCCTTCGACGGTAAGAACACCATTCCTTGGTACGCGAAATTCAACTCCAGCTGACGGTGGTCCGCCTGGGCCGCTGACGGCTGGAAGCAATGCTGCTGCATGCCTGTTGAAGCTGGCCGCCTCTATGTCCTTGGCGATGGGCGCAACCCACTTATGCACCTGAAGGAACGTGATGTGCATGGGGCCCACGATCTTCCTTGTGGCGACCTTGTCCAGCACCTCGATAGCCTGCGCCCAAGAGGAACCGTTGAAGCCTATGGACTCGAGCCCCACATTGCGAGTGCCGCCGCTGCCTCGACGACTCGGGGGGCTCATTGTATATGAACTTGACCATGTAGAGATAGATGTACTGGATGTTGCGTCAGGAGGAGACCCTCTGCCGTGATCTGACTCCTGCGACGTGCTGGACTCCTGCCATGAGCCCGACCATGTAGAGCATTGAGTACTGGTACTTGTGGCCGTGGAGGCCGAGCTGCCGAGCCCGCGTGGGCTACAGCGGCGCTGGCTTGGCCTCTGCCTCCGCCCTGCGAGCCCTGGCGCGCTGCAAGGCGTCCGCCAGCTCCTTGCCAGCGGCTTCACCACCAGCGTCAGGGCCACCATCAGCGCTGGCAGCACCTGGCGAAACGCCCTGGGCACCCTGCGCCTCCGCGGCGGGCTGGGCGGCCTGCTGGGCCTCCTGGGAGGGCTGGGCTGGCGCCTGCGGCGGGCCCCCCTCGGGGCTCTGGGCCGCTGGCGCCTCCGCAGCCGCCGCCCCCGCAGGAGGGTCATCGCGCATGGCCTGGCCAGGCGCCTGCGACGAGCTCCCTTCGGGGGTCTGGGGCGCGGGCGCCTCTGCAGCCGCCGCCGCCGCAGGGGGGGCCTCCCGCCTGCGCTTCTTGAAGGTCTCGCGGAGCACCCTGATCTCTTCAAACTGCTCTCGCTGGGACTTGAGGACGTCGGCCCCTGGCCCGAAATGCGCACGGACCGCCTGCTGCACCGACGCCTCGAAGGTCTGCTTGAGCTTGTTGAACTGCTCACGCTGCTCGGCCGTGATGTCCAAACCCTCAAGGTCGAAGAGGGGGCCGTCCTCGATGACGAAGCTGGCCTCGCCTTCGCCCAGCAGGGCAGAGAGGTTGATGACCCCGCCGCCCTTGCTGGTCCCCTCGGCCTGGGAGTCCTTGCCTGGAGCCGCCAAAGCCTTCTTCTCCTGAGCCAGCTTGACCTCCGCACCCACCAGGGCGTTAGCTGCGGCGTCGGAGCGGGCCTGGCACTCGTCGAGCCAGAGCTTGGCGTCGGCCAGCTGCTTGGCTCGCTTTTCCAGCTCCCGACGTGCAGCCCTCTCCGCTGCGGCCGCCCGCTGGATGCCCTCCTCCAGGAGCGCGGGCCGCACTGCAGGTGCCGGCGGGGCACAGGCGCTCTCGAGCTGCTGGAGCGCCTGCCGCTGGGCCTCGGAGAGGGCCTGCCCACCAAGGGTCTGCACCACCTCGCTGATCGCGAGCGGCTCGGTCTTCTGCGTGGTCTCCTCGGCTTCGTGGTACCAGTCGGCCTCACCCTTGTGGTTGTCCTGCCACCAGCCGCTGCTGCCGCTAGCCCAGACGCCACGGGGCCTTGGGGCGGGAGAGTACGATGGTCGCAGGGCCTGCCCACAGCTGTAGCACGACTGCTTGGTCTTGTAGGTCCAACGGTATCCACATTTCTTGCATCCCACGTAGTCGGCCGAGAAGGATATCCTTGGAGCTGGGGACTTGCCGCCTCCACGCCTGCGATCCGACATGGCGGCGGGATGGAATGGGACTCTGGACGGCAGCGCGCAGCTCCCCGTACAGGTCTCGAGAGAAGATGTCGGGCTGAACAGCCCTGGCACTGCCGCGGACTAGCGGTATCCACTTGTTCCCCTGAGGAACTCATCATCTTGAGCCAAAATGGCTACGGGGAGGAGGAGGAGAGGAGAGGAGGAGGAAGGGAGGAGGAGGAGGAGGAGGGAGGAGGAGGAGGAGGAGGAGGGGGAGGAGGAGGGGGAGGAGGAGGGGGAGGAGGAGGAGGAGGAGGAGGAGGAGGAGGAGGAGGAGGACGAGGCACCGGGCGAACACCTGGGCTGGAGACAAGCCACGTGCACAACAGATCCGAACGAGCACACTCAGTGCAAGCATTTATTTCGGGAAGGGGTCTCCTTCTTGGCCGCACACGCCTCGGCAACCGACAGTCGCATTTCGGCCACCGCCAGCCGAGCGCTTCAAACTCGGTCCCCAGACGCCTCCCAGACACCAATCTGGCATGTATTCCAAATCGAGTGCAGTTACGCCGCCGAGGGGTGGCGGGGACTAGGGAAGGTGAAATACCAGACATGTGAACGTCGCATTCTCTGAGCTTGGGGTCGGCATGCTTGACGACAACGGGCGCGCGCGCGCAGCACTGCCACAACAAAATCATTGGAGCGGCGTCGTGCGCCCAACACTTCCAGGAAATGACACGATTGTGCAAACATTAGCGCCACATGTGCGGGCGCGCGGCAAATCGCAAAGGGGCATGTAACTTGCGTGAAACCGCGCCAGCCCCTGCCTCCTTGCCAGCCGCGGAGGTAGATTCGTCCTCTCATCAAGAGAGTGGAGCCTTGCAAGACTGAAGAGCTCCTCCCTAGCTGTCAATATGGACGGATCGTTGAAAGGACGAACGGTGTCAATGAAGGATCGGTTGCTGGGCCGTTTAAAATAATTCCACCGCCCGCATGGCGACCTAGATTGGCGCACCCTGCACGCATACTCCCTGGGCCTACATCGGCCTTCCTAGACATTCCCCAGGCCTATCTGGGCCTACACTGGGCAAACTCTAGGAGGAAGTTCTTCTCAAAGCCCGCATAAGTCTTGCTGGGCCCTGCCCAGGCCTACTCCTAGAAGAACGGCCTTCCCTAACGAACACGTCGGATATGAATTCATAAATTCTACTCCACTCTCTTGCCAGACTACGTGCCGAAAACATCCCGCTTTGTCTTCATCATGTTTCTTCCGCACGGAGTTTCATGCATGTGTGTAATTGATTCATGGTCCAGTCGGAACATCTCTGGTGTTTCAACATATTGCTCTCGCTGCAGCGTGCGCTACAATGTAGGATCGGCGCTTAGCCTATGTCGATTGGAATAGCGCTTAGCCCAGGCGCAGGCCACTTTCCTGGATCCGAGTCCTTCCTCATGGTTGTCTCCCGCTTCGCCCCCCTCCTCCGCCTTCCCCTGCTCCTCCTGCTCTTCCCGCTCCTTCCACTCGTGCCCTTGCTGCTGACTTTCCTCTTCTTTATCATTCGGATTCCTCCTCCTCCTCCTCCTCCTCCTCGTCCTCCTGCTTAACTTCCAGCTCATCAACCACCTCCCCCGCCTCCTCCTCCTCCTCCTCCTCCTCCTCTTCCTCTTCCTCCACATCCTCCTCCTCCAACGTACGCAACTATCTTTTCTGATGGCGCATCACCCGATGTTCTGCTTTCGGGGCTTCCAGGTCCGCTATGAGACCCGTCGGCAGATAGAGAACTAGTCGGCGCAACCAGAACAGATGGGCGGGAGGGGTAGGACGTCAAATATGGCGCGAGCGCACCTAGCTTGCCCTATCCCGCTCTCTCTCTCTCTCTCTTTCTCGTTATTTCTCCTCGCCCTCTCTCGGCTCGAGGCTCGAGGCTCCCGACGCGCCCAGGCCGCGCTCGCAACGCGCTTGGGAGGTGGACCTGTCTGTGCGGGCCTCACTAGCCAGAGATCGAAACTCTCCCCTTCCTTCTAGATCTCCCCATCATTCTATCTCAGAGGAGGAGGAAGGGGGGAGGGGGAGGGGGAGGAGGAGGAGGAGAAGGAGGAGGAGGAGGAGGAGGAGGAAGAGGAGGAAGAGGAGGAGAAGGAGGAGGAGGAGGAGGAGGAGGAGGAGGAGAGAGGAGGAGGAAGGAGGAAGGGGGAGGATGAGGATGAGGAGGATGAGGAGGAGGAGGAGGGGAGGAGGAGGAGAGGAGGAGGAGGAGGAGGAGGAGGAGGAGGAGGAGGAGGAGGAAGGGGGAGGAGGAAGGAGGAGGAGGAGGAGGAGGAGGAGGAGGAGGAGGATGAGGAGGAGGATGGGGGAGAGGAGGAGGAGGAAGAGGAGGAGCTCTCTTTCTCTCTCTCTCTCTCTCCTTCTCCTCGCACTCACCCGCTCGCCTTTTCCTTCGCCCTCCCTTCCTCGCCCTCTCCCCTTGTGCCCTCCCCCTTCTCCACTAATCCCCGCTCCTGCCCCTTCTCCCTGCCCATCTCCATTCACTCTTCTCCTTGTCCCCCAGTGCCCCCTCTCCATCTCCCCCCTTTACCCCTCCGTCTCCCTCGATCCCCCCGCTTCCCCTCCAACCTCTCCTCTGTCCCTCCCGTCCCGCCCTGCCGCCAGCTTCCCGCCCTCGCCCGACAATTCCCCTCCTCCCCTTCCCGCCCCCCTGGCCCCTTTCCCTCCTCCACCTTTCCACCCCCCCCCCCTTTTGCTGCCCTCCCCCACGTGCCGCCCGCTCCCTCTCCCGGCCCGGCCCCCCCCCACCTTCACCCTTCACCCCTTCTGCCCCAGACCCCCTGTTCCCCCCAATCCCCCCCGAACCCTGCTCCCTCGACCCTCCCGCCCCGCTCGCTGCTCCTTCCTCGCCGGGTCCGTCCCTCCAGCTCCGGGCGCGGGGGCCCTCCTGGCCCACCCCTAGCTTCTGCATCGCCAGGATCACGCCGCAGCTGTCGGGGCCCAGCAGCATGTGGACCTTGGGCGCCGATCCCGCACCAATGGAAATTCGCCAGCTCCTCCTCCTCCTCCCCCCTCCCCCCCCCTCCCTTCCCCCTCCCCCTCCCCCTCCCCTCCCCTCCCCTCCTCCTCCTCCTCCTCCTCCTCCTCCTCCTCTCCTCCTCCTGCCCGTTTTGACAGGTGCTGGATGCGCCGTGCACAACCAGCAGGAGTGCTCCAGGCAAGACAGGGAGCACGGTGCTCAACGACGTGCACTCGCGAACAACTTGCCGACGACTGATGCTCACAAAACTCTGGTCTGCCATCGAGTGTACGGATGGCGGGCGGGCCGTTTCCCAACACGCACTTTCGCACGACACTGCTCCGCAGAACATGGTCTCTCCAATAATTACTCGGATCGAGAGTAGCCCGCTTCCAATCTTGCAATCGACCTATGCGTCCTCACCGCTCGCGAACCCCAAACCCACGATCTCAAAGACGCTTCAAGTGTGGACGGCGCCTGTGTGTGCCAAACCACCCTGGGGTCGTGGGTGTAGTTTTGCAGAGACATCGCCCCGCACCTCACTCCTCCTGCTGCTCCCTCCTCCCTCCTCTCATCCTTGCCTCTGCCCTCCGCGAACCCATGTTGGCACAAGTTTCGTGACCCCAACGGAGCTCCACTGAAAACCCCAGACCCAACTTCCACATGATGGCGCCGGACCCGCTTCGGCACACCCCTCGTTTCGTGGCCCCACAGGAAGCTCCGCCGAATGCCCCAAATACGCTGTCCACATGGTGGTGTCACACCCGTTTCGACACATCCTCCATACGTCTCGCGGCACCAGACGGAGCTCCACCAGAAGCCCGGGTGGCATCGTCCGCATGGTGGTGGCGTCACACCCGTTCTGGCACATCCCTCACCCGCTTCGTGGCCCCATAATAGGGAAACAAAAAGTGGCATAAACATAAAAACTCGGAGGTCCGCGCGGATGTCTCGGATCGGCGCTGGACCCCCCTCCCTGGCGCGCGGAGCGCGCCAGGGGCGGCGCCGGAGGCGCCGCCGAGGGGCCCCAGCGCCGATCCGAGAAATCCGCGCGGACCTCCGAGTTCTTACGTATGCCACCTCTTGTTCCCCTAGAAAATTGCGCTGCGAAGCGGCCGCGGCGCCTGCGGCTCAGGCAGCGGCGGCAGGGCCGCGCCGGCAGCAGCGGGGAGGGACAGCCCTACGGGCCACAAGAGCCCGCACCGACCTGTGGCATCCCTACACAAGGGGCTCCACCGGAGGCCCCAGGGGCACCGACCACACGGTGGCGTCACAGACGTGTCGGCACACCGCTCACACGCCTCGCGGCCCCCTCCGGCACGGCAGCGAAGGCCCCCGCCACGGAGGCACCGCCCACACGGTGGTGCCGCGCCCGCTTCGGCACGCCCGGCGAACGCTTCGTGGCCCCTGCACGGAGCTCCACCGAATGCCCCAGAGGCACCGTCCACACGGCGGTGGCGTCATACCCTTCCTGGCACATCCCTCCCACGCTCCGCTGCCTCATCAGGAGCTCCACCAGAGGCCCCAGAGGCGCACCGTCCACACGATGACGTCACATCCGTTTTGGCACGCCCCTCGCACGTTTCGGCCCCGTAGAGAACTCCACCAGAGGCCCCAGCTGTACAGTTCGCATGCGTTTCCCTGCCATTTCGGCACACCCCTCACACGCTTCGTGGCCCCACAGGGAGCTCCACCGAAGACGACACTAACAAACGCGGTGCCGACAACCGCATGGTTGGGCTCTTGGCCAGAATCCGCCACCGTTCCGCGAGGCACGAAGTGCTCCCCAGGTCCTTGAGAGTGCTCTGTACTCTGTACTCGCCAGTGCAATTGTTATACTGAGGGCAGGGGGCTTAAGATGCCAAATGCGCGATCCCGGGCTTCCTCTCTTGACTTCTCCAGAGGCCCGAGGGCCCCTATGATGGGCCAAGAGGGGCCAAGACGCGTCCAAGAGGCATTCAAGACAGCTCGAGAGCGTTTCAAGACGCCCAAGATGGTTCCAAGACGGCCCAAGAGGCCCCCAAACCTGACCAAGAGGGCTCCAAGAGGACCCCAGGAGGGCGCCAATATACAACATTCATTGAATTGTGTTATTCGTCGTTGCCAGATTTTACAATGTTGTCGCATTTGGGAGCCTTCGACGCTGCTAGACGGCCCAAGAAGCCACCGATATCACCCACAGGCGGCCCAAGGGGCCCCCACGACCGCCGCCAGACAGCCCCAAATGGCCTCAGGTCGGCCCAATGAGGCCCGTAAAAACCAAACACGAGAAGCTTCCGAGAGGTCTTCCAAGAGATCCCCACCGCCATCCCGGATGCCTCTGACGTGCAGCCCAAGCACAGTGGCGGGATGGGCTGAAGGCATGTTTCAAGAACGCGCCTGGGCCAGCAAAAAACAGCTGGCCGGATGCTGGGCCTTTCGTTTGCAAGAGCCTGCTCCAGGTGGGAGCGCGTTTCAGTCCCAAGATCAAGATGTGCCAACATAAATACATACTAGAACCACGCGCGCGCTTCGCGCGCGCGCAGTTTCTAGCAAGCCGCAGCCACGGCTTCAACCTTGAGCGCCCCCTGGGCCCCCCTTGACCGTGTCGCGCGGCTTGGGGCGCGCCTCAGGACACCACGCGGCTTCAAGCTTGGACACCCCTTGGGCACCCCGCCTTGACCGCGTCGCGCGGCCGGGGGGGCGCCTCGGGACACCACGGCTTCGACCTTGGACGCCCCCCTGGCACCCCGCCATGACCGCGTCCGGCGGCCAAGGGGGTGCCTCAGAACACTGCGGCTTCAACCTTGGACGCCCCCCGGGCACTCCCCTTTGATCGCGTCTGGCGGCCAGGTAAACGCCTCGTGACACCCAGGGAGGAGGCGAGGTGTCGCGGGCGACGGGCCACGAAAATGGCCCGCGCCCAAAATCGCGCTCCTCGTTCCGCGAGTGCTGTTCGCGTTCGGCCAATCACCCGACAGGATGCGCCGAGCCTGACTGGGCTGCTAGGCCGCCTTTCCTTGGGACCCTGCCACGGACGCGGGCGGCAACCAGATTGGCACTCGGAATTGCACGCGGCACAGTCCACGGCACGGCATCAGGCAACGCTCCCTGTGGGTTCCCGGTACCACGCAAGAGTCATTCTCCCACTGAAGAAAAAGAAGATACCCGACGCGATCCAGAAGGAAGGACTGAATCTATCCTTCGACGGTGAACTCATCCTGGGCCTTCTCTCCTCTTTGTTCCTCTTCCGCCCGCCGGCTGCCATCCCTTCCCTTTTTGCTCCTCCTCGTCCTTCGCAGCCCGTCCTTCGTCCTCTGCCTCCTTCCTGTCCCTTCCCCATTCTCTTCCCGTCCCCATCCCCATCCCCTTCCTAATGCGAATCCTCATCCTCTTCATCATCCTCTTCCTCCTCCTCCTCCTCTTTCCCCTCCTCCTCCCCCTCCTCCTCCCTCTCCTCCTCCTCCTCCTCCTCCTCCTCCTCCTCCTCCTACTGCTCCTCTTCGTCCTCCTCCCCCACTCCTCATATTTCTTCCCCCCTCCCCCTTTCTAGGGCACTGACCCGAAGGCACCAACCGCCAGCGACGGCGAATCGCAGCAGGCAAAGCACGCCCATCCCATGGAAAATTGTGATGGACCCGAGTCCGAATCGATGTTCCCAGAAGCCTCTCCAGGAATATCGAGTATGAAGTGTAATTACGTGAAGCCTATGTGGCGCTCATCGGGTTTTCGATGTCCCCGAAGACCGATCTGGGTACGTCGTTTAGGGTGAATTCGCGTGGCTTCTGAAAGGCTTCTGGGGGCCTCTTGGCAAGCCTCAGGAGCCTGTTGGTAGCATTTTGGGGACCTCTGCGACGCGTATTGGTGTCTCGAGGGCGGCCTTGAGGTCCGAATACATCTCCCCAGAAACCTCCCTGGAAACATCGTGTAGGATGTGTACGCGTGTCCTCTTGGAGGCTTGTTTGGGATCTCTCGAGAGGCCTCTCGAAGCCGATTGGACGCATGTTGGGGGTCTCTTGGCGCCTCCAAGAGGCCTCCTGGGGCATCTGGGGGGCGCCCGGGGGTTTCTTGGAGGCCACTTGGGGGTCATCTGGCAGTGTGTGCGCCTCCGTGGGCTCCTCTTGGGGGTCCCGTGGGGGGCGTCTGTGGCCCGTGGGGCGCCTCTTGGGTCGCCTGTGGGGGCTCTTCGCCCGTCTTGGGCCCTCCTGGCCCTGGTGGCGTCTTGGACCGTCTTGAGGCGATCTCTGTGGCCTCGTAGGCCGCGCGGGGCTGTCGGAAAGCAATCAACGCGAGAACGCGAATCCATCAAAAGCCATCGAATTCAGCCTCCCAGAGTCCTCGAGGGGGCGCGCTTGCGGCTCTCTTGGGGCGTCTCGGGGGCATCTTAGGCCGTCTTGAGGCTCCCGGTCCCCATCGTCAGCTTCTACGACCCCCTCTGGTCGACCTGGGATGCCCTGGGCCTTCCATGGAGCCGAAATCGTCCCCCTAGGGCTCCGAAAGCGGAGGGCCCCCGACCCCGCGGGCTAAAGTGGTTACCTTGGGGGGGGGAGTTTTGAAAAAGTCAGCTGCCCTTGGGCCCAGGGGACCAGACGCTTATTATAGTATGCATCTCACAAGGTGTCAAACTCGATGATGGTACACTGTATGGCGTCCTGTTATAATACAATTGCGGTCGTTGTGTGATGATATGTCATACGTGATTGTGGGGGCCTCTTGGGCCGTCTTGGAGGCGTCTTGGGCCGTCTTGCCCTCTTGGGCCGTTTTGGGTCCATCCTGGAGCCCTCTTGGGCCGTCTTGGAGCAATTGGGGGGGGCCCCTTGGGTCGTCTTGGAGCGTCGGGAAGCGGAAGCGAAAACGCCGAACTGCTTCAAAAAACAAAGAAAAACAGTTATTCCCTACCTAGGCTCTGCCTAGAAGGGTTCTTACTCTGTTTGCTTAAAGGGGCCCAGCAGTGGGATGGGAACCGGCCCGGGCGGTTCCCCCGGGATCCGCCCCGCGGTTCCGCCACTTACGTCCCCTTAGCTTAGCGTTGCTTATCTCATCATAGCTTAGCTTATTTAATCTCAGCATAGCTTAGCTTCATCTTAGCTCAGGTTAATCTTAGCTTAGCTTACCTTCATCCTAGCTTCGATGAGCGTTAGCATAGCAGAGCACAGCATAGCATAGCATAGCGCAGCATATCATATCATATCATAGCCCAGCTTAGCATAGCATAGCGCAGCATAGCATAGCATAGCATAGCGCAGCACAGCACTGCACAGCATAGCACAGCGCAGCATACCATATCATAGCATAGCCCAGCATAGCATAGCACAGCATATCATATCATAGCATAACATAACACAGCGCAGCATGACATAGCATAGCATAGCATAGCATAGCAAAGCGCATCATAGCATAGCATAGCATAGCATAGCGCAGCATAGCATGGCATAGCATAGCATAGCAACTCATGCTGTTTTCCTAGGGGCTCCAACGTCTAGGTGGGGTCGCACTGGGGTGATTTAGCATTTCGTATTGTATCATGACACATTATATTATATAACCTGTATTATGGTAAGGTGTGTCAATTAAGACTGTACTATGATATGATATGCTATATCGTCTGATAGAATACGTTGTTCAACTTTACGAGATGTATGTGCACACTGCTGTAATCCGTGTGTTAAATTGCAATGTCTAATATAATTCTAGGTTAGTGCGTCGCGTCCTATATTATAGCGTGTTGTAATACAGTGTGTCATAAAATACGGTTGTCTATCATATTGTAGGAAGCGATGGTTTGACCATGTTAGATTGCCTGCTCATCGTGTATGTGTGTCTGGATGTATGTATGAATATATGTATGTATGAATATGGCATAATATGGAAGGGGAATTGTATAGTTCTTTTTCAAAATAAACAAAAACCTTAACGTTACTTACCTCGCGCACGCAAGGAAGCCTTCTGGGCATGCGGCCAGGTCTGCTAGCTCGCGCGTCTGCCGTGCGTATCACGAGCCAAATGGGAATGAATCTCACAGCAGATCCAGAACCCCAATCTGTAGGGTGTGCAGGCCATTGCTGCACTACGCGTCTCCGTACACTCCAGGCAGAGGCACCAATCCCAGCACACATGTCCTGGGAGGGATAATGAAAATAAGCGGGGCCTTCTGACCTTCGCTGCGCAGATACGCAACACGCAACACGTAGCGTATGCATTCGGAGCTTAACACGTAAACTGACAACGTAGGCATGACGCGATACCTTCGCCAGAACGTGGGCCAATACGCTGAGCCAGCACGCAACGTATTGACACGAGCGTTTTAGGCACAGTACGTGCTGCGTTTCGCAACAGGCGTATCGGGGCAGCTAGCTTCTGACTCGTTCGACCTGGCAAACTTGTCTACGGTGTCGCGGCGGCGGCCTCGGCGACACGGTGTGCCTTGCAGGCTGACAACGTCAACGTGCCGCTCCGCGCCGCTGGGCGGGAGGAGGCTGGGAGCAACTCGGGACGTTGACGGCTCGGGATCGGGCCGTGACAGCGTGTCGCGCCGAAGCGTGGTGGGCCAGAACCAGCGGAGCGACACGCTAACCAGCAGTTCCCGACCGTAAGTCTGCACACAAAAACTGATATCAGTTCGGCACAGGGACTCCACTGGCAGGTATACGTGGTCAGCAGCATTGCGAAAACCAGCGGGCGGGCTCTCGGTGGACACGGGCCTTCTGGTCCCCGCCGGCACCTGGGCAGTCTGTGCTGCGCGGCGACGGGGATTGGCGGCGCGCTGGGGGAGGTATTGGGAGGAGGGGACACTTCTTAGGAGTAAGCTGCTTCTTAGAAGGTGCCAGCCCTGACATCTATAGACAAGGCCCGCGTCTTCTAATAAGCAGCCTCCTTCTACACCCTCCCCCTGATTATCCCTCTTCGGCGGTGGACAAACCTCCCTTTAGTAAACATCTCCCTAGTGAAAACGGCCTGGGACAGGGCCTGGGACCGAAACCGACGGACCTGGACCCGCAAAAAGGACGGCCGCGACGCCCCCTCGCGAACCGAAACCGGCCAATGCCTCAATCGACGTGTTAGGGTGGGAAGCCCGTCAACCTCCGACCTCTCTGCGCGTGGCCGGGAAAGGCAGGCGGACGACGGCGAACGCGCAGGCGGGAGGCCAGGGCCGGCGGGACGAAGCATGCCAGGGCCAGGGCTGTACGGCGGGAGGGCGCCCGCGCTCCCAGCGCGCGCCCTGGAGGCGGCGCCGCGGGCGAGCACCTCGGGCGCCCCGCAGGGGGGCGGATCGGCGGCGAGCGAAGGGGGGCAGCGAGCGGGAGGAGGCCCTCGCGGCAGGCGGCGAGGCTGCTCGGGAGCACTCCGGCCTCCCAGGAGGAGCTCTCTCCGTGCCTTCGGGGGAGGCGCGGCAGACTCCTCACAGGAGGCGCGGGGGGCATGTCCGAGCCTCCCGAGAACGCCCGCCCTGCTCACCAAGACCGCCCCGGGCTGGCCGCCGAGCGGGGAGCAGCCCCCGTGTGCCAGCAAGACGTGAGCTGGCCCGCTGTGCGGTCGAAGCTGGCCGCGACCGCTGGGCCGCTTTGAGCGTGTGCGCGCGGGGATGCATTTTCTTGACGTCTTCGGCGGTGGACAAACCTCCTTTTCGTGAACCACCCTCTAATGACAACGGCCTGGGACCGAAACCGACGGAGCTGGACCCGCAAAAAGACGGCCGCCACGCTCTCTTGAACGAATGACTGCAAACAAAACCTAGGATTGCAAAACAACCCTGGGTTTTTTTTTGCAATCCTATGTTTTTTTTGCAATTCTTCGTTTTTGCAATCCTTCGGTTTTTTCCTTCGAACCGAAAACGGCCGATTCGCTGATCGACGTGTCAGGGTATGAGGTCTGCCCACCCCCGACGTCTGCGCTGCTCGGAGAGGCGGGGGTCCGAGATCGCGGCGCTCCGCCGAAAAGGCTGGCTGCGGCATCTCCGGCTTGCTGTTGAAGCCGGCAGCGATGTCGGCCAGCGCCCAGGCGTGGAGCCGTCGCCCTGCCCTGCCAGGGCAACCTGCTGCGGCGTGGTCGTCTGCTTCTGGCCCCGTGCCCTGCCCTGCCAGGGCAACTTGCTGCGGCGTGGTCGTCTGTCTCTGGCCCCGTGCGGGTGGCCAAGCCCCCGAACCCGCGGCAGGGCCGTCGGGTTACGCCCCTTGCAGCGCTCTGCCCCCGAACCTCAGGCAGACCCAGGGGCTCCGCTGTAGAAGCAGGGGGGGCGTATGACAGCTCCAGCGGGCTGTCGTCGTAGTGAGAAGGGCTGACCGCCTGCACTTGTGAGGAATGGGCTTGAGGCGGAAGGCGCCTTGCAGCTTCAGTGGTGTAGTTCGCCACCCTTTTCCTTTTCCTCCATCTCCTCCTCCTCCTCCTCTTCCTCCCCCTTCTGACGTCTCGTTCCTTCTGCTCCTCCACCTCCCCGACCTCCCCCAACCCCCTTTCTCCCTGCTCGTCCATCGCTCCCCGTCCCCATCATAATCTCCCCGCTCCCTTCCTCTTCCCGCCCCCCCTTCTTCCGCACGATCCCCCCACTCCTCCCTCCTGCTCTGCGAACTTCTCTCTCTGCCCCTCCCCATCCCGTTCCCCTGCCCCGGGCGAGGCCGACTTCCAAATGCGGGGGGAACTCGAAGAAGTAAGACGGCAGAGAATCGCTATAGTTGCTCAGGATGTTCCGCGCCTGCCATTTGGGCGATCTTCTCCTGGTCATCCTCCTCTTTCTCCTCGACCTCCCCCTCACCATCACATCATCACCACCATCAGCATCATCACGATCCTTGCCATGGACATCACCAGCATCATCATCATCATCATCATCATCATCATCATCATCATCATCATCATCATCATCATCATCATCATCATCATCATCATCATCATCATCATAATCATCATCATCATCATCATCATCATCATCATCATCATCACCATCCTCATCGTCATCATCAGCATCAGCATCAGCATCAGCATCAGCATCATCATCATCATCAGTGTCCTCGTCGTCGCCACCGCCGCCGTCGTCGGCGTCGTCATCTTCGCCGCCATCGCCATCGTAATCGTCAGCAGTATCGTCGCTATGACGGTTATCGTCACCATCATCCATCATCATCACCATCAGCATGCACAGCAACATCATCATCACCATCAACACCATCGTCATCGCAACCATCATCATCATCACCACAATGACCATCATCACCATCAGCACCATCGTCAGCATCAGCATCAGCATCATCATCGTCATCAGCAACATCCTCATCCTCATCACAATCAATACCAGTATCCTTATCGCCGTCATCAGCTTTATCATGCACGCCACCGTCATAGCCACTACCACCATGTTCAGCATCATCATCACAATCACCACAACAATAATCATCAACATCAGCACCATGACCATCACCATCACCATCACCAGCATCATTATCAGCATCAGCATCATCATCCTCATTCTCAACATCACCATCATATTCATACTCATCAGCACCATCGGCACCATGACCATAATCATCATGATCATCATGGTCAGCATGGCCATCATGATCATCATGATCATCGGCATCGACATCATCATCACCATCATCATCACTACCATCATCATCATCGTGATCGCCCTCGCCTTCGTCATCAAAGAGCTCCTGCTGCTGTTCCGCTTACGCTGCTCCTGCTCCAGCGATTCCCATTCCCGTTTCTGTTCCTGCTCATCCTCCTCTTGCAGCGCGTTCTGCGCTGCGCGCGAGTCAGGTGGGCGTGGCCAGCAGCCCGCCACTGCTGACTTTCATCGGACACAGTTCGTGGGAGGTCAACGCCCGCATATGTTGTACGAGCACTAGAAACGCTGCTCAGAAATACTGCGCTGGAGGCGAACTTGTCGCGGTGGACTAGGGAGGCTGCCACGAAGAGATCTTATTGAGGCAGTGTCCAGGAAAAGCGATATGTCCAATCACGTTGGAACTGAACTCCCTTGGGGGCCCAATGCGCTGAGAAACGCTTCATGCTCACCAAGACGACCGCGTATACTCAAGCATGATCAAGCACTGTGATGGGCAGACGGGGCTGGTATGACATGCGTACTGGACTGCAACAATGAGAGACAAACCAGACGAGGCTTAACCGCGCAGCGTATGTTTGTGTGCGATGTTGTGCGAGCGTGTATCATTCTATGATCGTGTGTAATCAGTGCTCTACCTGTCCGAACGAATCGGTGGAAACGAACAACGAGCAAACCGAAACGCAAGGAAACGTCTTACCAACAATGGTGGGTGGAACCGATGTGCTGGCAAGTAACCGATGCCCGGGGGTCAGGTCTGGAGAGGGGGCCCCGCGCGGCGATGGAAACGCATTTCCCTCTGCCGCGATGGTTCCGTCTGGGTCGCCGCAGACACCGCCGGGAAACACATCCAGGCATCAGAACTCGCTCAGAGACAAGACCGGAGGAGGAGGAGGAGGAGGAGGAGGAGGAGGAGGAGGAGGAGGAGGAGGAGGAGGGGGAGGAGGAGGGGGAGGAGGAGGGGGAGGAAATGCGAAATGCGGACCGCGCTCAGAGACGAGACCTGGCATCAGAACTCGCACTTCGGTGCGGCGGGCCCGAGCGCGGCGACGCGGCTGCCCTGCGCGCGGGCCGCGAGGAGCGCGCCGCTCGAGCCGTCGTCCCGCGCGCGGGCCCCGAAGGGCGCGCCTCCAGATCGAAGCGCTGAACGAAACGTGTTTTCAAAGCGAAAGGGCGGCGCAGAAGAGAGCAGCTGTGGGGTGAAGAGGACGCGGCGGCGAGGGAGGCGGCAGGGCAGGACAGAAAACGAGAGGGGCAAACTGGACGACGCCTGAAAACAAAGGGTAGAAGACGAGGGGCACATGGAGGACGACGCGCAGACCTCAGCGGGCGCGCACTCCAGGCGGACGCGGGCTCCACTGGGCGCGGGGCTCCAGCGCGCGCAGGCTGCAGCAAGCGCGGATGTCACTGGGGGCGAACTTCCGCGGGCGAATGCAGACTTCAGTGGGGGCGAACTTTCACTGGTTGGCGCGGACTTCGATGGGCGCGGACTTCAGCCGGGGCAGAATCCAGCGGGCGCAGACTTCCATGGGCACCAACTGCAGCGGGCGCTGGCGTCAGCGGGCGCAGGCTTCAGCGATCGCCGTCTTCCGAGGTCGCACACTGCAGCGGGCGCAGAACATATTGGGCGCATGCGCCGGAGGGCGCAGGCTTCAGCGGGCGCCGGCTTCGCTAAGCGCGCGCGCGTCTGCTGGCACAGAATCCACTTGGTACTGGCCTCATTGGTTGCAGACTTCAGCGGGCGCAGACCTCGCCCGGCGCGTGAGGTTAGCGGGCGCAGAGGCCAGCGCGCGCACATCAACGGGCGCAAACCTCAGTGGGCGCGGACGCCAGTGGACGTAGGCCTCAGTGGGCGAGGCACCCGCGGGCGCGACGTCTGTGGGAGCGCACGTCAGCGGGCGCAGACCTCAGCGGCGCAGGCTTCCGCGGGCGTAGAATCGAGCACGTGCCAGACCCGGGTGGCGGATATTTTGGGGGCGGCGCAAAGGACGGGTTACCCCCGGGAAAAACAAGCGAACCACCGAACTGCTTACCCGACTTGAGTACAAGCCCTGACTTGGCTACGGGTGTGCGTCGCCCGTTCGAACTGACTACCTGAGTGCGCGGCACCTCCGCGGCTTGAGTACGCCGCTCGACTACTCGAGTGCGCGGTCCCTCTGCGTCCCGACTACCTGGACGCACGGCCCTTCCGCCTCTCGACTACCCGAGTGAGCATGCAAGTTTCGTCATGACTACGTCGGTGCGTCTCGAAAGCCCGAGTTGACGCGCGCTGACGGCCATGCAAAAACGTTTTCCAACCCGGGGCGCCCGCATCGAGTTCAGCCTGCAAGCCCGTGTCGAAAACATCGGCGCCGTGACCAGCGGAGACGCAGAAAGCCACACTCGCGGCGGTTGGAACGTAGGCTGCCACCGCCCGGAACGCAGGCCTCATTTGTCACCGCATCCCGTTCTTTAGAGGCAAACAAACCTACCTCGCTTTTGACCACCCTCGCTTCCAAGAGATACCAAGCGATGCCAAACTACGGCCTGTACTGGTCAGGCCGCTTGACGAGGAGGCGCGCGGTATGACTTGGTTTTGCCTGGAAGCGAAAGCGGGGTAGGTAATTCACGCTCTGAAAGGAGCCCACACCAGAAGCGGGGACCTCACCTGCCAAGTCTCATTGCCGGGGGCGTCGAGAGCAAATCCATACACTGGCCACCTTGAATCCAGCTGTCTTACCATAGCGGCTCCATGGAGGACCGACAGTGACCAATTAGAGTGAATATGGCCTCAGGAGCGTCCGAAATCGCCCCAATATCGTCCCAGGAGGATTCCAATATGACGAATGCCGGGCTCCACACGGGCACTGGTAAGTGGCACTGGCTTGTCATCTCGTCGATGGCCTCCAATACGGCCCTAAGATGGCACGATCGGCTCGCAAGAAGGCCCCAAGAGAGCCACAAGAGGGCCACAGCAGCCCTATGAAAGCCATAAAGGAGCTCCAGTATAGCTCGATAGAACACCCATACGACTCCAAGATGTATCTAAGCTCGCTATTGTTGGCAACTCTGCTTCACGAAATGATGGCATCTACCCCGTCCTGGGACCGTTCACCAGGACATCGCTTCTGGATGGTCTCTAATGAGGGCACGAGAACTGTCACGACCATTAGAATCACCTGGCCAAAATGGTGTTCACTGTCACCGGGGCGTGGGTGACAATGGGGGGCCCTTCGCGCGGGGGCGTAGCACGCCGCCTTGCCTGCTCACGTTTGTCAGTTGCTCTGCTCAAGGTCATGTTAGTATTATATATGGTCGAATTCTGATATGTGGGGTCACACTGCAGAAATCAGTGCGACTGACTCCCTCAAGCATCGCGGCAATAAACAGCATCCAGCTTCGAACGGAACAGGAGCAGAGCCAAGCAGAAGTGGATAATAAGATGAGTGTGCACAGCAAGGCAGAGGATGCTTTGATGGGAGTTATCGGATCGTAGGGTTGGGTGAGTAGGTGGGAACGTGATCATATCAATTAAAGACATCCGCCACCGTGCCTCTGGGCACGGAGTGGGAGTGTCCTCAGGTACAGTCAAAAACCCAAATAAGGACGCGCGGTAAGGACGCAAGACCCTTGGAAGCCGAAGCTGGGATTCTTGGGGCGGCGGACGACGCAAACCTCAAGGACGCACGAGCAAGGAAGAGCAAGGACGCAAGGGCACCCCGAGCAAAGTCGCGCGTCCTCATCTGGGTTTTTGATGGTCCTCTGCCTTCTCCCTGGTCGGGAGCGGCCAAGAGGGGGGTGTCCAAGAGGGGGGGGTGCAAATCATGACCGGCGGCATGTGCGCGGCCCAGCGGGGGGGCCAGGGACGTAATGAAATAAGAAGAGGCGCCATGAGATCTGGGGAAATATCATGGCCCACGCCATGATATCCACCCCCCCCTAGTCATCACCCCCCTCTTTTCCGCCCCCGACCTGGGGCCTCAGTCCTCGGCCCGGAAGAGAGAGGGGCCCGGAACCCGGATCTCCGAGGCCTCCTGGGGCCCTCCGCGGGCCACCTGCAGAGGCCGCCCCGCGCGACCTCTGCAGGCCTGCGAGGGCCCGAAGACGGGCCCGGAGGGCTCCAAGGAGCCCCCCGAGACGGTCCAGGAGGGCTCCAAGAAGCCCCCGAGGACGGTCCAAGAGGGCCGCGGGGCTCCTGCAGGTCTCCCCGCGTGACCTTTTCAGACCCAAGAGGGCCCGAAGATGGGCCAGGCAGGCTCCAAGAAGCGCCCAAGACGGTCCAAGAGGGCCCCGGGTCGCCGACAAATCGCTCCGAGACGCCTAAGATGGCCTCCGGAAGGCCCAAGAGGCCTCCTCGCCCTCTCGGCTTTCCGACGCTATGGCACGACCAAGAGGCCCCCCAAAACCACAAAACGGCCCATAAGGCCTCCGAGAGGGCCCCAAGACGGCTTCACAGCGCCTCAAGGCGGTCCCCGAGGCGTAAACGACGGCCCAAGAGGGCCACAAGATTTCCCGAAAAGGGGCCCAAGAGAGGGAACACGAAGCGCACATCCGAGCCTCCTGTCCCAAGACGCCCCCAGGAGGCCCTACCAGGCGGCCAAGAGGCCCCCAAGAGGCCCCAGGAGGCCCCCTGGAGGCCCCAAAGAAGCCTCCAAACTGCCTCCAAGAGGTCCCCGAGATGCCTCCCATGAGATCCCAACGAACATCCCATAGGCTTCTTACCCACAACAGAGGCACGGTGGCGGGACAAGGCCGAAGGCCATAAGATGGCAGAGGGGCCACGACAACATGATAACATAGCAGAGTCCATCAGACGATTGGCGCTACTCATGTACGCCCAGCTGCTCCTTGCAGCATGCTGCGCGGCCAAACGCAGCGCAGCTTTGATGTGATCGTTGTATGGGGTTGCACGCACTTGCCCCCGACGTGTCCTTGATTACCAGAAAGGTACCGCGGGCCAACATCTCGCGGTTCCCAGCGAGGGCTTCTTCTGACCCAGGGTCACACACAAGTTATCGTGTAAGCCAGATCAGCTGGCGCTCGATTCGCGCCACCAGGTGGGGCGATACGCTCAAGCGCAGCAACAAATACCGAAAACCGAGCCCTGCAGTCCGAATCGATCGCCCAGCAAGCACTAGGAGGGACTCGAAGCATACACCCAGTCGTCTGGTCGACTAAGGAGCTCGGTGCATAGACGCCCCAACTTCCCAACCTGTGGGACGCGGGAGCGTTTTGTGAACCGAACTTCTTGGTTGAACTCCTTGTCTCCCTGACCAAACAACCGGCATGGTGTATACATCGAGCCTCTCCGGATCACAACGTGGGCAAGGATCACCATGGCCGCAAAGGGCCACGGCCCAGACTGCGCTTCCCTAAGATCGCCGCACCCCGCCCGCGCTGCAGAACCGCAGACGCGCCTGCCAGTGCCTCCACGCGGGGTCTCCTCGCCAGTGCCTCGCGCGGCGCCGCGTCTGCAGCTGCTGCTGCTGCTGCTGCTGCTGCTGCTGCTGCTGCTGGCTGCCTCATCCGCCTTCTCCTCCTCGTGTAGCTGCGGTGGGCATTTGTACCGATGCTGGCGGCATGAACGACGGACGTCCGGTCGCAGACGCCGCAAACACCTGGGAGCAGCGTCTGGCAGGCTGGTATCTTGGGTTTCGCCCACCGGAGCCTCGATGAGGACATGCGCTTGCAACGGCGCAGGCCTTGGTCAGCGAGTTTCTCGGGATGAGAAGGCCGCAGATAAGGCGAGGGAAGAAGGGGGGATAATGAACCGCTCTTATCTACCAGCCCACGGCGCTGACCTAGAGGCCGACTACTGGGCCGAAACCGCACTCACAAAGGATGACAAAGACGGGGAACTGTTCGCTTTTAACGTGCGGTCCCGCCAAAGAAGGAACGGCTCCTGTGGGCCTGCTGATACACGCGGGGGCTCCTTGCTACAACTCCCCTTGTGTCCCACTTGGGGTCCTGGAGGCTTGTGGAAAGAGCATATCTGGCGATCGGGTCTGGTCTGTGATTCTGTACCGCTGCTTCTGGCTGTCTCTGACTGGCCATGCCTGGAGAACCGAGAGTCCAGCCTGGCCGCTGCTGGCTCGTTCTCGTGGTCCTCGGTCGGCTCAAGACGCGAAATATCTATCTGACCGTCTCTGAAAACTACTGCTCAATTTCGCTCTTGTTCCCAATCGCAAATGAGAATCACTGTTCTAGACCTGGTGAGAACATCCGTGCAAACTGACAGGCGCCTGATCCCGCAACACCGTCACAATCTGGGCCACAAGTGCACTCTCCCGCTGCATCGTGCTTGCGCGCACCCGCTGCTGGTGCAGACTGCTACACCACGGGCCATTGACCCCGACTTGCCTACTATCACTGACTCGCAGTGCTTCCAATTACTGCCTGACCCGCCACCGTGAGAAAGGTACTTGTTTCTTGCCGTCGCTCGGACGTCCATTTCCCGTGCATTGTTCGGTTTCGTGCGTGTTTTTTTTGTTCGATGGTCCAGGATGGTCCTCGATGGTCCTCGCCGAGAAAAAATGCACACGCCCCAGCGATGCCAGGGTTTTGGGCGGCGCGCACAAAGGGAGAAGGGGAAGGGCGGAAGGCTTCTTAGAAGGAGGCTGCTCCTAAGAAGTCCTGCTCGTGCTGCTGCTGCTGCTGCTGCTGTCCCTCCTCCTCCTCCTCCTCCTCCTCCTCCTCCTCCTCCTCCTCCTCCATCCCCCACACCCGCCATCTTCTCCTCCTCCTCCTCCTCCAATGCACGCAACTTCCCTTTTTTTCTGATTGCGCATAGCACGAAATGGTCCGCCTGTGGGAACCGCAGGTCGGCTATGACACTCGTCCGCGGATAGAGAAAATCGGCGCCATAGGAGGGATGGGAGGGAGGGGTAGGATGTCAGATGATGCGCGGCACACAAACAACAAACAAACCCACATCCCAGGATCCCCCATCCTCTCAAACAGACACACATGTGCCAGGATCCGAAAAACGCACGGATTGAAAAATCAATCCAGCCCTCGAAGGCGAGGCCTTTTCTGGAGCGCGCCACGTGAACGATTGAGCGGTTTGCTGCCTAACGCGCGGGCGAGGCGTACGCCGCGGCGGCGCAGGCGCCGACCCACCCCTGCGGGGGGACGCGGGCCTGGACCCGCGGCCCGGGCGCCACGCCTGGAGGAACAGGCAAAGACATCAAGAGGCAGACTCGAACTGATCTCCACCCCTAAGATGGGCAAGCGAAAAGCGATGGCAACCTTAATGCGGGATGACGATTAATACAAAACATGTGGGAGAGAACGATTAAAACTTAGTTTTCTGCTATTTCTGCTTAATTTGCTGACGGGAGGAGAGCGATTCAAAAAATAGTTTTCCAGCCCGCGGCCGGTTTTTTCTAATCGTCATCCCGGGCGCCGCCGCGTGAACACGACCCCCGGTCATTTATTAATCGTCATCCTCCATTAAGATGGGCAAGCGAAAAGCGATGGCAACCTCAGGGATGCGCCCCCCCAGGAACTGATGGAGTCCTCAAGATCGGCATCGCTGCCGGCCATGGGGGTAGGGACATGTGCTGTGCCTCAAGCTGGTGGGTCGACCCAGACGTTCGTCATGTTTGGACGCCCGAAATGGGTACGGAAACAATGGGCACAATGCCCAACAACAAGTGTTGTCCCAAACCAACAGCGGCCGCTGTTGGGCAGGCGGCCTTCTGTCTCGAACAGACACCAGCCGCGGCGGCGTGGACAGCGAATCCTGTTCAAAATGAACAGGATCCGCCGTTGGGCATCGTACCCATTCTTTCCGTGCCCATCTCGGGCGTCCAAATCATGGGAAGGGCCAAACGCGTGCCCCCAGGACGGCGTCCCCCCGGAAGGGTGTCGCACTGGCCCCGGCTCCAGCCACGGCGCGCGCCAGAGCGCAGCCGCTGGGCGCCCCGCGGGGGGCCCGGAGACCCCCTCTCCTGACTGCAGTGCCGACCAGACCAACCCAACCCAACCCGAAGACCCGAATTTCGGGTTGGGGGGGGGTGCGGGCTCCATATTGGGCGCCCGAGTTATCCGGGGTAACTCGGGTCCGGGGTAACTCGGGTTTGGGTTCCCGAAAAACGAACCCGAGATATCCCTGACCCGAGTTACCCCTGATGATTCGGGGCTCTGACCATATGTGTTGTCTCGATGGTCCCCGACCCCCCCCCCAACTGGACATGGAGGGCAAATCGAGACCATCGGGTGGGATTGGGGTGGTTTGGCGGGTGGTGATCTCCAGGGTACGTCTGCTCTGAGGCACGCCCGGCCTCCCCTGATTTCGGAGGCCCGCGCGGAGTTCTCGGATCCGCGCGGGCACCCTCCTCGCCATCTCTCGGCCGTCCATTCCCTGTGTGTTTTTTTCGGTTTCGTGCGTGGCTTCTTCGCCAAATGATCGAGGATGCTCCTCGATGGTCCTCGCCGAAGGAAACATGCACACGTCCGAGCGATGCCAAGCCTCCCTGGCGCGCGCAGCGGGGCCAGGGGCGGCGCTGGAGGCGCCGCCAGGGGGGGCCGGGCCCGGTTCGAGGACTCCGCGCGGAGCCCGACAGCTCTTGACTGCTCGTGCCGTGCTCGCGTCTTCGAGCGCCGCCCAGGGCGCCCGCTTCGGCGGCGTAGGCGCCGGGCTGGTGGGCGCCAGCCCAGCTGCGGGCTCCGGCGGGCCACCCCTCGGGCGCGCCGCCTGCGAGGGCGGCGTCCGCCCGCGGCGGCGGGGGCGGGTGCGGATGGTGCGCGGGAGGCGCGGCCGCGGGCGGGGCCGTGCGCCAGGCGTCCACGGGCCGCCCCTCGGGCGCCCCGTCCGCCGCAGGGCCCAAGGCGTACTCGGGGTCGCCCCACAGCCAGCACGGGTAGCTGTTGCCGCGCGCGTCCAGTGGCACCAGGCCGGGGGCCCGGGCCTCCAGCGCCTGGCCCTCCGCACGGGCGTCCAGCAGCTTGGGCCGCTTGGCCGCGCGCTCGCCCTGGGGCGCCCGGCCGGCGTTCTGCACGGCCGCGAGCCTCTCCTCCTTGCCCCCGCTGGCCTCGTCGCTGCTGCACTCGGCGGCGCTGCTGGACCCCTCGGAGCCCGCCTCCGCCTTCCTCTTCTGCTCCGCCCTGTACCGCCTCACGCACTTGCGCTGCATCCGCCTCCTGGCGGCGCGGCTGATCGGCTTGAAGTTCTCAATGTACAGAGGCCCCCACTTCGCCTTGGCGGCCGCGACGGCCTCATCGTCAGTCGCCTCTGCGGCCTCGCCGTCCTCCGCCACGCCGGGCCCAGCTTCCGCTGCTGGCGGGAGCACGGCCTTCGCCTTGGCCTTGGCCTTGGCCTTGGACTTGGCCTTCGACTTGGCGGGCTCGGCGGCCGCCGGCGCTTCGCTGCCGCTGGCGGGCATGGCCGCGGTGGAGTCCTCGATCGCAGCTCCCATCAGCTCGGTCGGGGGGATAGATGGCCGCGGCGCTCCGTCGCTGGCGCAGAGGCCCCGGGCGCATCATATCGGATGCGGATGCGGCGCCTCTGGGCGGGAGAGCCCTTGAGCACACACGGCCACGGCACATACGAATGATTGGGCTGGGCGAGTGGCATCCACCCGCGATGCATTCCTGGCCCATTGCTTTCCCGCTGCTGAGTCGACGTCTTTCTCGGCGCCGCCGCCGCCTCGTCATCGTCATCGTCGTCGTCGTTGTCGTCGTCGTCGTCGTCGTCGTCGTCGTCGTCAACGTCTTCGTCGTCGTTGTTTGCGTCGTTGTTTGCGTCGTCGTCGTCGTCGTCGTCGTCGTCGTCGTCAACGTCGTCGTCGTCGTCGACTCTCTTCTCCTCCTCCTACTCCTCCTCCTCCTCCTCCTCCTCCTCCTCGCTTGTGGCCTTCTCGGCAGTTCGTCTGTGGGGAGGAGGAAGAGGAGGGGGGGAGAAACCATAGTTCGTTTAGGTTGCGGACGGGAGGGCACATCCGAGAGAGGAGGAGGAGGAGGAGGAGGAGGAGGAGGAGGAGGAGGAGGAGGAGGAGGAGGAGGAGGAGGAGGAGGAGGGGGAGGAGGAGGAGGAGGAGGAGGAGGAGGAGGAAGAGGAGGAGGGGGAGGAGGAGGTCTCACATCTCGCATCCCGCCCTCTCGCCCGCCCTCTCTCGGCGTGGCGCCCGCGGGCGCGGACGGCCACGAGGGCCTCGCACGCCAACGCTCCGAGTCCAGGCGGCGAGTCGGGCGCCCCGCGCGCCCCGCCTCTCGAGGTGGCCCGGGACCCCCCGACCGAAACAGAACTCGAGACTGCACCTCGACAAACACGAGTCCGTCCGCCCCTCCAAGAGACCCCCAGCAAGCCCCAAGAGGCCCCCACGAGGCGTCCAAGCGGCCCCTAAGAGCTTCCCAAGAGGCCCACAAACTACCCCCAAGAGGCCCCCAAGAGCGCTCGTCGTCGTCGTCGTCGTCGTCGTCGTCGTCGTCGTCGTCGTCGTCGTCGCCATTCAGGGTCGGCGGCACCGGCCGTAAGGCCTTCGCAATACGAGTCCATCCGCCCGCGGGTTACAATAGGGAACAGACATCTATACACCGACCGCCTCCGTCTGGCCTCACACCGAGTCTCGCGCAGGAGAGCGGATCCGGGTGCACACGAGATCCTGGTTTTTATATATTCTTCGTTGCCTCCCCAGGAGAACGAGGAAAAAAGTATACACCACACCACCCCGACGTCGCCCCCGACTCTCAAACAAGTCCTGGGATTGAACAATCGCCCGCCACTGGTAATACATATATATATATATATATATGTGCCCCAATTTCCGGTAAAAGGATCGCACCTGCTTTCACCAACTTGCGGCATTCAACGATATGATCTGCCGGCTCCAGCGGAGAACTCGTCACATCTTGAGCGAGGACCGACCGTCCTGGCATTCGTATACGGGTCTACCGGCCTACCACGACATGTCATGAGGACCAAAGGGTGTTCTAAGAGCAGGATTCGTGCGCCTAGAACTCGAATCGGGAATACTTAAACCAGGGCTGCCGGAGCCAAAACTGCTAGGAGAACACTCCGTGCAGGCCACATACGTTTAGCGTGAGACTCTTCGGTGGACCCAGAACTTTGCTTAGCGTGTCGCGGCGCCTGCCCCAGCGACACGCGATGCCCTGCGAGCGGATAGCGTGTCGCTCCCCTCCGCGGGGGCTGGAGGCCGGGCAAGGCTCGGGACGTGGAGGCCTAGGGAATGGGGCGTGGCTGATTGCGCATCGCACTGAAGCGTGATGGGCGAGAGCCCGCGGAGCGACACGCTACAGTCTCGCAGGCCTAGAGATTGACACCAACACCAATTTCGGCGGTGTGCCTCCGCCGGGGGAAGAAAATCCCGATCTCGGTGATGGTGGTAATATTCTGGCTTCCAAGGTGGCCGAACTATTACCACCAACACCGAAAATCTAGGATCATCTTCCCCCTGTGGAGGCAACCCTCTGTCTTGGTGTTGGTGCCAATTTCCAGGCCTCCGACAGTCGGGCTGCGGAAACAGAACGCGATTAAGTAATGAAGAATAGCACCCTTATATTTCCAAGCCGAGCCGTGCAATCCGAAAGAACGGCAGCACATCGAAGAAGAACACCGACGGGGCTCGCCACCAACAAAACAAACGCAACATGAGGGGAGCAGATCTGAGCAACCACCGGGCCCCTTCCGACCTCGAACTGTTTTTTCAACAAAAAGATCTGACTGTAAGCCACACTTCCTGACTGTATCTGGTGGGCCTATGCGCAAAACAAAACGTTTCGCCTTGGAGGCAGCCGGGGGATGAAGCCACATCCGCTCAAAGTCGGTCCGACCCCTGCCGGTGTCCATCTGGTGAAGTGTCTCACCCCAGACCCGTTTTCGACAATCCCAGGGCCCGAAGACGGCCCCAGGGTTTCGAAAAGCGCTAAAAACCAAAACCAGTGCTGGGCCACCTCAGCCCCCCAGGCGGCTCGACGTTTCGCTACTTCTTTCGGCGACACGCATGAGCTTTCCCAGGCAAGCGCGGCCATTGGTGCGCGACTCCCAGGGAGCGAGGGGGGCCGAACCCCAGCGCGCAAGCCGCTGCTATCAAACGGCATTCAACCATCTGGGGACCCAGTATGCCCGTACACCCCGCGAAATGCTTGAGAAATCGTGGGTTAAGAAATCCCTAGTCTCAGAATTTGAATAAAAACCCAGAATGTCTATTCAAATCTTAGGGTTCACATTGAACACATTAAGAATCATCGAGACTCTGGCCGAAAACTTGGGTTTTCTTAAGCATCGACTAGAGTGTACCAAAGGGCACTCCGGCGAACAGTCACTCTTACATGTTCCCACCGCTTGAATATCAGGCCCTGGCCCTGGCGACGACCCACCACAATCTCTCTCGGGCGGGGCCGAGACGGAAGGCGGGAGCTCCGCGCCCGCTGGAGCCTGTCATATAACTCGGGCACCGCCGGGCTGCGAGAGCGTCCATGGGAGGAGAGGGCAAGCCGAAAGGAGGCGGAGGACGAACACTCAGAGGTGGAGGGAAGAGGAGGAGGAGGAGGAGGAGGAGGAGGAGGAGGAGGAGGAGGAGGAGGAGGGAGGAGAGGAGGAGGAGGAGGAGGAGGAGGAGGAGGGAAGAGGAGGAGGAGGAGGAGGAGGAGGAGGAGGAGGGAGGAGGAGGAGGAGGACGAGGACGAGGAGGAGAGGAGGAGGAGGAGGAGGAGGAGGAGGAGAAGCGAGGAGGAGAAGCGAGGAGGAGGAGGAGGAGGAGGAAGTGGAGGAGGAGGAGAAGGAGGAGGAGGAGGAGGGAGGGGAGGAGGAGGAGGCGGAGGAGGGACGAGGAGGAGGAGGGGGAGGAGGAGAGAGGAGGAGGGGAGGAGGAGGAGGAGGAGGAGGAGGAGAGGAGGAGGAGGAGGAGGGAGGAGGAGGAGGAGGAGGAGGAGACGGAGGAGGAGGAGGGAGGGTGAGGGGAGGAGAGGGAGGAGGATGGAAGGGAGGAGGGGAGGAGGAGGAGGAGGAGGAGGAGGAGGAGGAGGAGGAGGAGGAGGAGGAGGGACGAGGAGGCCGAAGGGGAGGAGGAGGCGGCGGGGCTCCAGCCCGAGCGCGCCAGGGAGGGGTGTCCAGCGCCGAGCCGAGAGATCCGCGCGGGCCTCCGAGTTGTGTGTGGATGCTCGGCCACGCGCACAGGGGGGTATGGGGGAGGGGGGGAGGCTTCTGAGATGCAGCCTCCTTCCGAGAGGCTTCCTCCTCCTCCTCCTCCTCCTCCTCCTCCTCCTCCATCCTCCTCCTCTTCCTCCCCCTCCTCCTCCTCCTCCTCCTCCTCCTCCTCCTCCTCCTTTCGCCTCTCCCCCCTGGCCCTCCTCCTGCGCGCCGCCGAGATGTTGGGGGGCAGGGGTCGGCTCGAGGCGGTTCGAGGCTGGCTGCTTCTGGGAGCCTCAGGTCGGGCGTGTCCCCCCTACAGGGGGGATCTTCGACGACACATCCAAACTACCCCAGAAATGCCCCCCAAAATCCAAAATACCCCAGAAATGTCCCCCAAAACCCAAAAGCCAACATACCCCAGAAATACACCAGAAATGCCCCAACATACCCCAGAAATACACCAGAAATGCCCCCCAGAAGCCAATAGTCCCCAGGCTATGTTTGGAGTATGTTTGGCGAATTTTGGGGGGTGTTTTTTATTTTCCGTCGGAACACCTCCTATATGGGGGGACAGGCCCGACTGCAGAGTTGTGTGTGGGTGCTGCTGCGTTTGCGTATTGAAGGCCGAGGGGAGGCGAGGGACGAGCAGTCCTTCAGGGGAGGGCCCTCCAGCTCCTCTCGCTCTCCCTCTCTTCTTTCCTGCAGCCCGAGATGCGCACGTTGTCGGTCGGCGGAACCTGAACTTTGCGCAACACAGCCTGCCACGATTCAACCTTGCAGCGCGTTTGCGACAGAAATATCGGAGAGGCGAAAGAGACGGAGCAGGGGGAAGCGGGGAGAGAGAGGGGGGAAAGGCGAAGAGACGACAGAGAGGCAGAACTATAGAGAAGGCGAAAGAGACAGAGGGGAGGCGGACAAAACAGCGAAAACGAACGACAACCTACAAACTGGGGAGAGAATCCGCGCTCTACGGGCGCCGATGGCTGCCTTCACTTCCAGCATTCCCATCATTTCCATCACTGCCACCTTGCAACCGCACGAGCTCGCGCAACGAGGGGAACTCCACCTATCAAAAAATTCTAGACGCTTCGCGTATCCCCACCAGCCCGTCCAGGAACGACGCCCAGGCGAGTAGAGGGTCGTCCCGAGGGGCTTTTCGGCGTCTTGGGTGCCTCGGGGGGGCCTCTGTGGGCCGTTCGGGATCCTCTTTGGGGCCTCCTGGGGGCCTCTTGGGGCCTCTTGGGGCCATCTTGGGGCCTTTGGGGGCCTCCTGGGCGCTTCTTGGGGCCTCCTGGGCGCCTTTTGGGTGTCTCTTGGGGGCGGGCC